CTCCTACTCTGGAGGTCTTCAAAACCCGCCTGGATGCCACCCTGTGCCACATGCTCTAGGTGTGCCTGCTTGAGCAGGAAGGTTGGACTAGATGATCTCTAGAGGTCCCTTCCAACCTTAAATAAATATTCTGTAAAATATTCTGTAATATTCTAACATATCTGTTGCTCCTATAAGCAGGCTTTGAACCTGTAAACAGTTTGTGACTTGCACTTTTTGACAGTACAGAATGCAGCCGTTCTTCCACAATTGCTTTGATCCTTTGAGGAATTTTACCATTTTTGATCTGCAGTTTCCTGACATATCAGGATCACAGGATGGTTGAGATTGGAAGGGAACTCTAGAGATCATCTAGTCCAACCCTCTGCTCGAGCAGGGACACCCAGAGCACGGGGCACAGGGCGGCATCCAGGCGGGTTTGGAAGATCTCCAGAGAAGGAGCCTCCACAGCCTCCTTGGGCAGCCTGTGCCAGGGCTCTGGCACCCTCGCTATCAAGAAATTTTTCCTTAGGTTCCTATGGGTCTCCTGTAAAAATGTCATTTTTTTTTTTATCATTACAAATTGTTTAGCTCTCAAACATTCTTCAGAAGAGCTTATATCCTTGGAATAAACTATTTTCTGTTTTTTTCTTTTTCTCTAAACCTCAGCTTCTTCTTGCATTTAAAGATAAGTGTTTAGTTTGGTTACTTTTTAACTTGATATGATTCCCAAATCTCAGCTAATTAAGAATAAAATATGATAATTATGTTTTTTTAAGAATGTTTTTACTGTACACAGTTGTCAAGATTGTAACTCTTAACGATCATATGCCTCCACACCCTATTCCTGGTGATGATTACAATAATTTCCTTCAGCTATTGTGTTAGTGAAAGAAAATGCTGTTCAGTGATTATGTCACCTTGCTGCCCTCTGCTATGCTGATCTGCTGAGCACCCACCTTGTGTAAACCTCAGCACCTGTTTCTGTGGTCTGTGGCTATCTGTGGGATAAGTCGCTGGGCAAAACCCAGCGCAGTCTTTGCATTCCACGGTCGGATAAGGTTTGGTTTGTTTGTTTTTCATAGGATGTACCAGCAGTTATTTCAAATTACTTGTCTGTAAGAAAATATAAGGGATTATCATGAAAACTTGGGTGATGTTTGGAGGGGATCTGCTTTGGAGGAGATCTGCGTAATCTGTTTTATTATGTTATTTAACTTCTTTGAAAATATACCTTTGATTTAGACGTAGTAGAGCTGTAATAGCTTTTGGCCCGCATCTGGATTTTATCCATAGGGTGCTCTTTTCCCAAGTGACGAATGGCTCTTCCACTAGCAAAGTCAGCCCAGGGTAGCTCGTGCAGATTCCATAACTACATTTTGGCTTGGAAACTGCCATAGAGCCTCGTGTCATGTTGCTGTGGTTGGGATGATCATGGATGGGCCTCCTGAACCCTAAACCACTGCTGGGAGCAGGAGAGGAAAGGATGCGGGTGCAAAAAGAACAGGCTTGCTCTTTGGCAGAGGACATGTCCTCTGCCATGGCTTTTTAGGGAGGAGGATAAAGGACCAGGAGAGATTTTCTCTTGGGTAAGGAGACCTGGCAGATGCTCCACTTACATGGCCACCTCTGCAGTTTGCCCAGATGGGGAATGAAGATAGTAAAATTGGATTCAGACCTCTGTGGCTTTTGGAACAGGTCCCAATCAGCCCTATTCTAAAACAGCATCTATAAAATGCCTCAGTTGAACACAACTTTTAATAAAATGACATCCGTTGTTTTTTAAGGTTCTTCACTATATTCTAACTAGAAAAAAATGTTTTCTGAGTCAGTTTGGTGCACTGCCTGCTGCTAACAAAACCACGAATGTGAATGGAGAATCTACTGTTTTACACAGAAACTGGGAAAGGAAAAAGCTGAGTTATAACCACTACTCTTTAAGTGAGGTTTCATACAGGTTTCTTTAAGCTTATATTTCTTGACAATGTTCTGTGTTCATATGTACGCTTTTGTTATTAAACTACAGCACTTTTGAATCCTTCCATTTTAGATATTTGTTCCCTATTATAATTTTTAGACCATTACTTTCCCAATGTTCAAACACTTTAGGTTTTTAATCTGAGGTTATTATTTTCTTTAAGAGCGAGCAAAACTCTGATATTTTTTTCAATTTAAAAACATAAAGAAGAATACGTCTTAATTTTAGCAAGAATATTTGGGACCTGCTGACAGTTACGATTTTGCAATAATCTAGCAAAGAATATGTGTCTTGAAAGAAGTTTCCAAGATAAACATGTATAGAATATATATCAGAATAACCTCACGGGGTTTTGTTTGCTTGTTTGTTCTGTTCTTTAAATAAAGTTTTCAAGCTTTTTAGTTGATACGTACATGGCAATTACTTTTTTCCAACAGGTAAGCAGGATGTATTATGTAAGTTTGTGCTCTGTTCTTTTTAGTTGAGGTGAGAGATATTTTCTTGGTGAGTTAGGTAGCGAGCCTACCTAACTAGGAAGCAGAAAATGCAGGTTAGATAGGAGCAGCCCTCCTAGGGTATCAAGTCTAACTCTGATGGGAGTCATGGTGAGTCAGTTCTCTTCATTTGTCCTCCACCACAACTGAGCTAACGCGTAGCTGCATGTGATAAAATGTCTTAAAAAAAAAAAAAAAAAGGCTGACCTCTTTCTTATCTTAAGAAACCTGGAGAATAGGTACTGTGGTGTGTTCCAATGGGCCGACCTCACTGTGCAGCGTAAGGCTCAGAGCAGGAAGCAGCAGCGCCGGGTTGCCATGTTCTGTGCCAAATTGCACCTCACATCTCCAGCGTGTAAATTACAAGCAAATCCATTGAATTCTTTAATCTATAATTAGGTTTATAAGCTTCTTCAGAATTTTTGGATTTCCTCTCTCTTTTTAAGTAGTGGAATATGACGTTATTATTCTGTGAATCTTTTTGATGTATTTTTCAGAGAAGGCTTTCCTGGAGATTTTCTCCTGTTAAATTATTTCTTTTCCCTCTTCAGTGTCCTGAAATGCAGAAGTAAAAATTGTGTTTCTATCAAGAATAAAATGATAATACCTGGTACAAATGACAGTGATGTTTAAGAGTGATATTGGTAGCTCTGAACATATTATTTTTTAATAGGTTAAAATAAATACATATTCCTAACAGTTGAATTCATCCAGCAGGTCTTCCAGTGTTGTTCTGTTAAAAAATAAAAAATAATTAAATTGTCACTGCTTTTTTATGTGTTAGGGCATGAACACTCTCACTCCACCCTGATTTGAGGCAGTGCCTTGTTTGAATGCCGTGATTTGTCACAGAATGTATCAAAGCCTGGAGCATGGGCGATTTTGTTCTTCATGGTACAAGTGTGTGTATACATACATATATACGTGTGTGTATATGTATATTTATGTATTTGCATCACAGGCAATTTATGTCATTGTGTAATTCCTTTCACATTTGAGATGAGCATATTTATGTTCCCCTTCTGCCCAAATATCATCTTTCCTCATTAATTCTTCATGTTAAGTTAGTTACTACGGAAGTACTTTTTTTTTTCTCTCTCATATGAATTCTTACTTCAGGAATATTATTTATTCAAATTCATACTTCATTTTTTTCTTGTTATATCACATAGCTTTAAAAATATTGCATAATTGTTAAAGAAATCTCTTACAAGTTTTTTTTTTCATTACTGATACAACAGCATTAAATGGTCAATACCTACATACTCAGTATGCAACAAGTAACCAATACATTTTATTTAAGAGTCATTTTCTGGGTGTTTTGTGGAATTTTTTGCTCATAAATTGAACCCTTAGAATTTGGTATCACATACACTCTTCTGGTCAACTTCTGTTTTCCTCTTCAGTTCCCAGTCATGTAGTTTCTGGAAGACCAGAATGATGCTCGCTTCGTAGCAGGGATAGACCTGCTTTGGTACCTACTCTTACCTAGCAATATACAGAAACTAGTGGATATCCTTCTGCCTCTTAAGCACTGGTACCTTCCACACTGCAGGCATAAGAAATCTCTAAAACATTTCTGATGGCGTGTAACTGAACTGCTAATAGAGGCTCCTTGAAGGAAAAGGGCAGATGAAGAGGTAATAAATAGTCTTGTTATTTTTACAATGTTTTGAATTTGGAGAGTCTTTAATTCACAAGGTATGCTTTTTGCCTTGTCTGGAAGTTTCTTGGCATCCTTACGTTTGTTTAGGGAAGTGCATATATATATTCATGCATTCCCTTCATATATAAGGAAGTGTTCATATATATGAAGACATATATATATTTATGTATGTATACACACTATATATATATTATATATATGTGTGTATGTGTATATATATACACACACTATATATATTATATATTTAGGAAGTATATTAGGAAGTACATTCTGCAGTTTAATCCAAAGGCTAAGAAGCCTGCTGGTTCCCTCCTTAGAGCCCAAACCATGCATTTTTAAGACCGTATTTTTGTGGATTTCACTGTTCTATTTGTCTTTTTTGTGGTCTTTCCCAAGTTACACTTTGCTGTACATATTCCTTAGTTCTGTTACTGTTTTTTAATCTTTATTTGTTGCTGTTTCTTCACAGTTACATTTTTGCTTTCTAGCACTTTATCTTATTTTCCAAAAGTTAGCAGTAATTTATGCTGTTTTTATCTCGTTTAGTTTTTTTTTATTTCTCCATTTTTCCGCCTTCTCTTATCTGTGGGGTATATTTTGGCCATTGCAAGTAATTGACTCCAATTACTTGGAGTAATTTTCGGCAGGGGTTGCACATAGTCCAGCCCAGGGTTATTTCCTGTCATCTTTTTATTTTTACATTATTTTGAAGGTTGCAGAGGTATTTGGGATTTTGGGATGCTTTGCATTACTTGTCCATGTACACACACAGTTCTATTACGAATATTTATAAATTCCTGTTTAAAAGCAGTAAGTAGTATAGAAACTCTTCATTTGGGAATAGTTTTCTGAAAGTTTATGAATGGTTTTTGTGCTTGCACTAAATGTAGTTCCTTGTCTTACAGGTGCAGAGAGAAGAAGTACGATTACTACAAGTTGCCCAAAACCTCTGTTGTGATAGCTTTTTATAATGAGGCTTGGTCAACACTGCTACGAACTGTCCATAGTGTTCTTGAGACATCTCCAGATATACTTTTGGAAGAGGTTATCCTTGTGGATGATTACAGTGACAAAGGTAGGAACGTTATTTCTAGATAGGTTTGGAGGGTGAGGGATGTCAGCCACGTGAGGAAAAGGTGCAGGTTTATGGTCATGCACCCTACAATTCTCCATCATAAGCATCTAATTGGAAATAGGCTTTCTGTAGCATGCTAGTGAAAATTTTGCATTTTGAGTTTGGTTCATAAGGGGTAAGCACATGCTGCTGTTTTACAACAGGAGTGTGCCTGCATGTATAAATAACTATATGCAGGTCAAAACATTTCAGCTTTTCTAATTTGAGTAAGTTCTGGCTGTTTTAGGGTTGGTGTAATGAGGCGCTATCTGATTATCTGTTTTCATCTGAATTATGAGACACAAAACAATACTAGTATTTTCCACCAGACAGAAGTTAAGTATTAAACTTTTATGGAATGCTTTTAACAATTTGGAAATGGATTAGAGAAACAAAGGTGAAACATTTGATTTCTTAAAAATAAACATGAATTTTGCCCATCCACACTCTGCTTTTTCCTTCTCAATTTCTTCAGGCAGCAAAATCATCATTCAAAATACTCTATCTGTAAAGCGCTGCTTTAAGCAACACAGTAATGAGCAATGAGCGTTCTTTAGTCTGACATAAACCAAATTGTTACCAAACCATATTCTTTCTTATTATTTATTGTGTTACAGAGCATTTAAAGGAGACTTTGGAGAACTATGTGGCTAACTTGCGGAAGGTGCGCCTTATCCGGGCGAATAAAAGAGAAGGGCTGGTGAGAGCACGGCTGCTGGGGGCTTCGATAGCAAAAGGGGACATCCTGACTTTCCTCGATTGCCACTGTGAATGCCACGAAGGCTGGCTTGAACCACTGCTGGAAAGGTGACTTCTCTTTTTTTTTTTTTTT